TCTGGGGGAAGGGAGCCTAGGAGAGTGAGTGCAGTAGATTCTGGACAGGAGGAGAGGTGGGGGAGACAGAAAGGATTCGGGTGGAGAGAGTGTTAGGTCAAGCAGAGCATCTGGGAGAAGACCTTAGACAGGTGATAAGGAGCACTAAAAGATAGATAAGTCACTTTCCTTGAGCGGGAGGAGCGGCGGGAGTGTGGAGGTCTCCATTCTCTCAGCAACGGGGGGAATTCCCTATACTGCTGAATGCAGACTCAACAACCATGACTGTGCCTTTCTGGTGAAAAGGCCATGGGGACACCCTCCAATTCCTCTCTCTCCCCATTAAACACCGAGGTCTAAAGTGTTGTGGGTGTTTAAACTGTAGGCTAACCTGAGTCCCCGCATATCTCACTGCAAGAAGCCCATCAGTTGGCCCATTAATTGGAATTTTCTACCCTCTCTGGCCACCCAGCGCTCTCTCTGGCTGCTTCCCTGTTCACTATGAAATGTGCCCATCACTCTGTGTCTTGTTCTCCTAGGTTTTGAAGGGGGTGGTGCTGGAGGAGGGGCATATGTTCCTCCATCCTTTGTTGAGCAGCACCTGACCAGGGGGAGGCTGGAGGATGAGGGAGGAGGTACCATGTTGAAGCCAAGGTTACACAGAAATGGTGTCATCCAGGAAGGCTGGGTTGGTATCACTGTGTGGATGAGAGAGACATGCAGGACTCCTTACAGCCTGCTGGCCCTGGAAGGAGAGTGGCTTCTGGTACAACACTTTCTGTATAGGGGACCATGAGGCCTCACATCTACCTTCTGAGGCTGCCTTTCACCTTCACAGGGAGAGGATGAAGAAGCAACCCCAGGGCCTAACATATGTCATAGACTGCATGGGTTCTGGACTCTACGAGGCTTGTGTGCATTGCTTTCTTTCTCTCCTGCCTGGAAAGCCCCTCCCGCATTATGATCACCTCCTAGAAGCCATTCCTGGTTCCCCTTTGGTGGAGTTAGTCTCTCTGGATTCCTTCCAGCATCCCCATTACCTGAGACCTCCGTTTCCAGTCCTGTGTCCCTCTACTGCTCCGAGCTTGCAGTGACTGCCTGTATGGTTGAGCAGTGAAGACTCCATGTCTGGATGCTGGTGTCTGTCGTCCCCTGTCTGTTGGTCTGTCTGGGGAAGCTGGGGCCAGTTCAAAGCTAACGCAGAAGGGACCTGGAGAGACATATACATGGCCACAGACAGTTTGTGTCAAGTGTCCTGTCTAGTTAACTCTTAGTGAGGTGACTTCACTTCTGGTTTCCTCAGGGGCATTTTGAGCAGGTATGTAATCTGGGGCTGGTCAACTTAATCAATATAGAAGCCAGGAAGAAACTTAGATATGACAATAGTTAACAAGATAGTGACAATGATTACCTTTGCAAAACGTTCTTCTTAAAAATGATACTGATTTTTATTGTGTAAAATGTGAGTGTCACAGCCTGTGGAGTTAAAAGGACAACTTAGCATAGTCACTTCCCTATTTAACCTTTACCTGGGTCCCCAGGGATCAAACACAAGCTGTCAAGCCTGCACTGTCGGGCAGCAAGCCTCAGATATCAGTTTTGTTTTGAGATAGAGCTCTATATAGCCCTGAGTGCCCTGGAACTCACTGGGTAGACCAGGCTGGCCTCGAAGCAGCGTGGTGGCGCATGCCTTTGATCCCAGCTCTTGGGAGGCAGAGGAAGGTGGATTTCTAAGTTCGAGGCCAGCCTGGTCTACAGAGTGAGTTCCAGGATAGCCAGGGCTATACAGAGAAACCCTGTCTTGAAAAACCAAAAAAAAAAAAAAAAAAAAAAAAAA